AGATAGCACACGGCATGACCAGGTTCATGTCCCTGGTATTATCTCCCCCTTGAACCTGATTTTTGTTTTCCTTCATCAGACTAACGCACTGCACAACAGTATTTTATACCGTTACCTGTTAAGTAATAATGTACATAATGCTATTAAGTGGCCTCCCTTTACACGGTGGCTGACTTTGGAATAAATGTTTACGTTTTTTATTTTAATAATGTATTAAAAGCATTCAAAAATGAGAAATATCAGCCAAAAGAGGTAGTAAAAAAAGAACAACAAAGATTACCGACCGACCGACCGACCCATGTTTTTGCACTTAAAGGGCAACACAACATCTTTTTTGTTTAGGCATAATAGCAGGATCTTTATTATATAGATAACTTGCATTTCAATAAGAATAGGCTAACCCTGTAGCGAGCAAACATGAAGTATCATCCATACATTGTATGACATGCATCTTCAACTGTATACATCGGGTGCCATTGTCAGTCATGTCATGACAAGGATCCGAATTTCGATTTAACAAAGCATGAAACCTACTGCTTACAATACGGTTTGGGATTTCCCAAATCTGCCGCTCATGTTTCAATTTCTAATTACACGCATTGCGACTAAAGGGAGCGCGTCAATTGCAGTAATGTTATCAATATGGACTTTTAGATTCGCACGAAGACAATGGGGAATGCTACGATCGACGTCCTTTTAATACACTGCCTTGAATGGACGTCACACGTATCAGTCCACGCAAATCTAAAAGTCCCTATTTATTCTGTTACTACGGCGTATTCCACACCGTGTCGTTCGATCATATTAAAAGTAAATAATGGTACGATATACAAAGTTAAAGTGACCTTTGTATTAAATATAGGAAGTGAGACATCGCTCATATAATATTGTAAACGAGCGAGAAAGGTCAGATTTTACGATATTAACCAAGATGGAGGATTCATGATACATTCGACAGAGAACCTTAATAAATCTTCCAGATCCAATTCAATAGAAACAAGTTTAAGATGAGCTAGTTTGAGAAAATTATTAAACATGCAGCTTTTCTGATATCATCCGTTTGAATACATTGAGAGTTAAACAAAGGCGGGCTTCCACTGTTAGCTTGTTTCACACTGTCACGCAATAATTAACGAAAGTGTTAGAATAAAATTGTATTCAACTTAGAAGGGTTCAACAGATTCTTGTTACTTTTTCGAGTTGTGCATAGCATAATATCATCTCGTAGTACAAGTTTATCAGATATAGCTGGAGGAACTAAATCATTAAAACATTTAAAAACAAGACAACAAGTGGCCTTGTCGCCAATTTATTGAGAGTTGGCCATTTTAGGCCATCCAAGACCTGTCGCGACGGAATATGCCAATACTGTTTAGAAATAGTATAAGCTGCCGTTTTATGAAGTTTATATAGCATATCGACATTATATTTAAATCAAATAGACCTAAATCAATTGTCACAACCTTAAAGAGGTAGCCTGGTCAGCGGCCGGGCGGCGATTTTTTGTTGTTGCCAATTCCGCCCGGACACCGCTTGTGTTTAGGGCATCGCTCGGTCGCCGCAGAAGTTTTAGCGCGGAGTTAACATTCGGGCGATATTATATTTTCTTCGTTATGATAACAATCTTGACCTCACCCAAAAACCTTCTCGTTAAATGGTTAAAAATGGATGAGTTTATTTGGGATGTTATCTTTTAACGAAAGTCTATTATCAATCTCTCAAATACTTATTATCACATGTGATCTTTCTTGTATTTGGGTTAAGTAACATTTGTGTTTTCTTTTGCTATTCAAGATAAAAACACCTTATTCTCCTTGCGCAGGCGAAATGGCACAGCGGACAAGTGAGTAGAGAGGCTTAGATATCATGAGACAACAAGTTACAATGCTATTAATAGTAATTAAAGTTTATCCTTTGAATTCAAACAAGATTCTAAGAAAGCCTAGATATATCGCATCATCTTAATCAATGACGAACGAGGCATAATTTAACTTGCAAAAGGATTTAAGACCAAAGACGCACATGAAAGTGGCCTGACTCATTTTCTCTCTATCAACCAAAATTTGATACAATGCGATAATAATAACCTTTATTAAGAACCCTGGTGGTCAGTCACCCATGGCAGAAAATATTATGAATAGGGTATCATTTCACAGAAAACAAATAACTCTTCATGATGAAAACATTTGAAAGGCATAATGGTTATGTCCTTCTAATCAGTAGCTTCCCAACTTTGGTACCCTACTTTGGTACCCTTTTTTAAAACACAAATTGCTATTGATTTGGCACTAAGCTTCTAAAAGTGTTATTTTCAACACCGGTAGGTCGACTTTCAGCACTTTCCGAGTATCTGTACGGTGACTCGTTCAGCACTCAAAGGTGCTTTTATTATCACTAAGTGTACTGATGAACAAACAAACGGGCTTTTAAAATCACCGACAGTGCACATTACCTGATATTAATATTATGTACAGTTCTTGTTCATCATGATTCAAAATGATCCGCAAACCATAAAATGTCGTTAATTAGCAACGATCATAATCACACTGACCAATTTAAAAGTTTTAAAGAAAAAGTATTTTCTTTTAACAATACGCAAATTCGTATGCAAAATTATCAAAGCTGTGCATGTGCTAATTCATTGACCTCATCATTGATTCATTTGGCTTAGACTTGTCCCTAGAACCCATTTCTTCTATACTTCAAAAGCTTAGTACGACAAGTGTAACTCCATACGCAGCATATGTTTTAGCACTTCATTTTTGTTTATTGTAACTGATTGTTTCAATAAGTAAGTATATGTTCTAATCAAGCATACAAAACACTAGTTACGGATTATATAACATTTCTTGCAAATCCATTCTTCATTCCTACAGATTGTTTTGAAGTTTTGAATATTGTTAAATCATTGAAAATAAATTATTCAAGAAGCCATGATAAAATTCGTAGACATAATCAACAAAATCCCAGGGAGATTCATAACGTCATTATTGCATATTTGCAATTCATCCCTTACTTGAGGTATTTTTCTGGATCCATTAAAAGGTCATTGAATTTTTCCAAAAAGGTGATTCGTCGCCAGTTTTAAATAACTGCCCTGTTTCCATCCTTTAGTTCGAGTATTTCAAATTTCTTTATAAAGATTCGTTTATAATATAGACTGTATTACTTTTTAAACAAAAATAATTTGCTGTACCAAGTAAAATGTTGATTTCAAAAACCCCATTCAACTAAATTAGCATTCTTGCAATTATTTGATATAGTGTCAAATGCTTAACTGGTCAATATCAACTTATTTGTGTATTTCTGGATTTGAGAAAGGCATTTGATACTCTGAAACATTCAATACGTACATTCAACTTTCATGGTTACAGGGCTTTTACAATAATATGGTTTAACAAATTATTTAGCAAATATAAAATAATATGTATGTTATGATTCGACTAAATCAAAATGGGTGTATGTAGAATACGGAGTACCAAATGGTTCAATTATTGGCCCGTTTTTATACTTGATATTCGTCAATGATGTCTGTTTTTCATCAAATGCGTTATCAAATGTATATTATTCGCTGATTACACCAATGTATTTTGTTCCAGCTCAGATCTTTAAACGTTTTTAAGCATAATCCATATTGAAATTACGATCTAAAGCGAAAAGACTATCCCTTAAATAAGACAAAATAATTTAATATACTTTCAAAACATGAAAGGCAAAGAAAAAATTAGCAAACATTGGAATAACTTTGGATGGTAAATTATGATGAAAGTAAGGACCATACCTAATATATTAGTATTCTAATTAATACAAATCTCAGATGGACTAACCTTGTGAAATATATGTATTAAACATTATCGCCCACATTGTTAAAACATTTGTTTTCTTATCTTATTAAAAAAATCTTCTAGTGTCAATATGGTTTATTCTTGATAGATAACATTTATATCTTCTAATTACTTTATTGATCAATGTCTATGCCTCTTTAGAATGATCAGGACAAAGTTCAGCGTAAAAAACTTTATACAGTGCGTCCTAGAAAAAACGAAACCGAGAATTATCGAAGTTATCATAGCTTAATCACAAGTATAACTACTTAATGGCACATATTTGTAAAGCTTATATCCTCTTCCTTCATTTGATGCAACTCATATGATTCACATTCCATGAGTGATAAAAACAATTTGAAGAGAGGGTACCATAAAAATCATTTGGCGGGCAATATCTAAATTTCAAAGAGAAAATTACATTTCTAGAAAATATATTTTCTGCCCTTTCATATGGCACCTCAACCAGGAGAAATGAGCCAGGGATGACAACGTTCTGTTTGTTTAAAGTAATACTTACATTTCCATAATTTGATTAAGCAAATTTGTTTTCACTGGCTGTCTGCCGTAGCAACAAGCAGAGTTGACAAAAGACTTAACTCCGTTTCGTTGACGATCAGCCATGCATCAAGTCTTTCGTCTTGTTTTTTTTTTCGTTTATGAAATTAACGTTTTTCAAATTGCACTTTTTAATGTTCCGCTTACAAAACGGTCAAAAACATTCACACCCCTCCAGAATTCAATATGATTAAAGATGTACAATCTCATCCCACGGCCCAAAATGACTATTCCATCTAAGAAACCTTCCAACCGTTAAGCTCTTAAATGTATTCGACACACAAGTCCCTTTACTTGGAACCCTCTCCGTCTTGGATTCGAAATATAAATTGGACATACTCTTTTAGTTGAACCTTAAACGGATTTTGCGACCAACAGACCACTGTTGTCGCTATTTAAATATTTTCTAACATGCGTATGGGATTCCCCACTGTATGGCAGGTCCATGTCTCTTGTATCATATCCCACATGTTAATTGTTCAGTAATACATGTACAAAATGCCAAGTGATATCCCCCCAAATCATGGCTGCCTTTGGAATGAATGTACGTGCAGCATAGCGACAAAAGCTCCATCCTAATAATATAGATAAGTTGCATCTCAATCAGAGTATACTTACCCTGTATAAAGCACACTTGTACTACCAGGCAAACATTGCATGACATGCAGAGCAACTGTATAACTCGGGCCGCCATTGTTGTTCTTGTGATAATTAACAAGGATCCGATTTTCATTTTATCACCGAGTGAAGAACAGCGAGTGGGACGGTTTGGGTTTTCCCCAATTGACATCTTATGTTTCCTTTTCTATAATACACGTATTGTAACAAAAGGGCGCGCGTCAAAGTTTACTGATGGTGCCAACCATTCTGTAGCTCCGACGTAGATCGATGAGTGGCATAATAGGGACTTTTAGATTTGTGTGGACTGCTACGTGTGACGCCCTTTTAAGGCATTGGCAGTCCCGTGTGACGTCCTTCCTTTTCTGAAGAATGAAGACCTTTAAAGTCGATGAAACATATCATAAACATCCACTGAAGAGCACTATAAATATGAAAATGTAATTATCTATTACTGGGAAAGGAGTATCTGGGGGAGGGGAGGGGGTAGGTGGGGGAATCTGTTCCCCACACCCTACCCCTTACTCGCTTCGCTCCCTCACTTGTCTCCAGGCGCCAAACGCCAGCCTAAGTCTGTGTCTGCTAACCAATGTATTATTAGGGACTTTTAGAATGAGTGGACGAGAACACGACGAACGCCGGCTGATCATGCGTGTCAACGTACTTAACTGCCCATGTTGACTACAATTAGAAATCTTTTAGATTGCACTCGACGATATACATGCATGCAGGAAGTAACATTATGAACATCACGGACAAAGAAAGAGGACAAAATATACAGTTCCTCATTCTACCCTCAACAAAAGAACATCACTTCACTGCTATTATGTAAAAATGTGTAGAACAGGTGAATATGCATGTGACACCTGTTCTACACATTTTTACATACTAGCAGGGAAGGGATGTTTCGGCTTTGTCTGCCTGCATGAGCAACTGTATATTTTACGCGCACGCGGCATACTAGTACCTTGAGCATGTAAAGGCGCTATATAAACATCAATATGTATGTATGTACTAGATTTAGGAAAATCAAGGTTAACGCATTCTCGATCGCCGACTGAGACGTCGTAACGCATGCGCAGTGCCTTAAAATGACGTCACACGTTGCAGTCAAAGCTGACAACGTGCAAATCTAAAAGTCCCTATTAACATCTGATTGTCAGCATATCAAGGGTATGATATAAATTCATTATCCGAAATAATTGCCTAGCAAGGGAGTGAAGAACACACATTAATTTATAGCAATGTTCAATGCTAGTGATCTAATTATTTCATCTGATACATGTTTTTGAACCGAGTGTATTAGTTTTAATGATATTTTATCAAAACCACAGTGAGTAGTGATTGCTGTATTCTCTCTGTTGATATTTCGTTAAAATGCATATATATTTGTAAATCTATACAAGTTGTATTGTCGTATGTAATATAGGATTTGAAATATTTGCAAATGCACGTAAACAACAGCAGTGGGGATCGTTTGTTGAGAGCCAGAACACACTCAATAAGTATATGAAAAAACACCCTTTAAGCCCTTCTTCACAGACCGGGAAAACGAGACAATATATGTGAATAGAATTTAAGCCTGATATCCTCAGTTCATCAGACCAATGAGTTGTAATGAGACATAACCATAACAGAGAAAGGGAATAAATGATACCAGAGATTTGAGTAGAAATATAAATAGAGAGAGGGAGAGAGATAGAGAGATAATGTACAATTGTGGAACATTTTTGAGCATGCATGATTACGCCAGTCATGTGTTCAACTTGCATTAAATTCTCTTGTTTGAAGAATGATTCACAGATGCATTCTTATATGATTACAAATTATATATGATCCGTGTGATAAAAATAACTGAATTATATTATATTCCAATTAAGGTTTAGTCTCCCCGGGATTCATGATTTATGTGCATTGCGAAGACCAAAGGGTGATAAAAGAGCGTGTTGTGGTTTTGCACAATTGAAAGATTTTCAAACAAGTAAACACTCAGGCAGAATGCCCCGGGTGGCCCACTCGGTTGGGTACAAAGTTCATGTTCTTTACCGACATAAGTCATTCCTCATGATCCAAGAGCAGGGGAAAAAATCCTGCTCATTCATCGTTAATAATAATAATAATAATAATACTCAGTTCTTTTATAGCGCATAACACATTACAGGATAGCATGTCCCTATGCGCTTCAAATAGAAAGGAAAGAATTACAAGAACAAGTCATACACATTAGAAAATCCACTTAGAAGCAAAAAAGTACATGTAGTGTTGGACGCTGAGTTCATGAGTGTACAATTTTAACATTGAATAAATACGTTTTAAGAGAAACCTTAAACTTGTCTAAATTATTGTGATTTCTCATGGAATCTGGAAGTGAATTCCATAAAACTGAGGAGACATGCATAAAAAAACGTTCACCGTATGTGTTTGTTGAGGTGGGAGGAACAATAAATAATGATTTCGAGCTTGATCTTAAAGTTCGAGTAGGCCGATATAATGATAAAAGTTCACATAAATAAGAAGGTGCATTGTCATGAAAGCATTCGTATGCAAAAACTAATAGTTTAAAGGCACACTGTCCTACTTGTAGCTACTTGCTCCCTCTATATAGAAAACTTCCCAAATCGGTGCCTGTTGATTCCCCATGATCCTCTTTTGCTTATGTTAAATGAGAGCTGAGTTAATGAGATAGCCACCTGTCACAATGACCTCGATGGCTCTCTGGGTGGTCTAATCCCTTCTAGCTGCAGTAGTAAAGCCTCCCTTTAAACAAATCCGGCTGTGCATTGATTGTCACTAATGCTTAAACAAGGTTATTTGTCGAATATTATAAAGATCAGGTGACTAAATGTGAAAGCACTGTAGAAGTGTGTCGGATGGTGGTAATGAACTTTTTTTCTTTTTCAAAACGTATGAAATAAAAGATCTCTGCTTCTCTCTCTCTCTCTCTCTCTCTCTCCCGCTCTTTGTTTCTCTTCAACTGGATATTACACGTACATGTACATGTACAATGGAGCAATTTTCTTAACACAGCTTAGCCAATTAGGTTTCACTTGGTCACAACATGGCGTATATTATTTAGGTTTAAGCTTGCCCAAATAAGCAGTATTTGCTATATATTGGGCCCAACTCATTTGCGCAATTTGTTCATGTTATTATTTTTTGTAAACATAATTTCTCCTCTATCTGTTGTGGTTAATACAATGGGCAATGGTGGGATATTGAAAGCTTATGATACTGTTAAGATTCACACTACCCTCCAGGCTCCATCTCTTCTTCCTATCCCCCTTGATTGTTCTTCTTCTTCCTCTTCTACCTTTTCCTCTTCTTATCTTTTTGTCCTTCTTCCTCATCTTCTTCTTTTCTTCTTAATCTTACCTTATTACCATTATTTTTGTCTATATTACTCTATACCATCATGATGTTGTTCTTACATTTTCTTTGTATTCCTTATAGATCAAATAATTTTGATAAGTTAAACATAATTGTATACAATTTACCAATTAACGTGCCGTTCTTTAATTTAGATGTCATTTGCTTTGCCTGATTTTATTTATTGTATTTCACATTTGAAAATAATCCCTGGTTCGGCCGTTTAGACTGCGACGCATTGGTTTTCTTTTATTATCAATAACAGTGTTCCCAGCACCCCCTCCCCCTACTTTTCAGCATAAGTCCGGTGAGTAAATTCAATACGGGTAGACCTTTTTCTTTTGTTATACGAAACCTTTGCAGCACCCCCACCCCCCTTTTCAGCATAAGTCCGGTGTGTAAAGTCAATACGGGTAGACCTTTTTCTTTTGTTACGAGCCGGAGATTTTGGGAACACGCGTGCGGTCCCTCCGTTCCCGGAGGCGTTATTTTCTTCTGCGGCACAGATTAGGGCTTTAACAAAAAAAGGGGGGGGGGGGTCTTGATTTAACCCTAACCCTAATCCTAAACTTTCCCATAGGCTCAGCACGCACCTAACCCCAATCTGTGCCGCCGAAAAAATAACGCTTCCCGGAGTAGGGGAGCGGGGGGGGGGGGGGGGGGGGGGGGGGGCTATCACACAGCTACAGGTCTTAAATCACGATACTTTTCATGAAACTACACTCCGTGCCCTGGACCATCAAAAAGAATGTGAAGAAATGTGAAAGGTTCTTTTTGTCTGTGATGATGCGTGGTTACATAATCAACATTGTCGCGTCAAATGAATGTCCTCATCATCAGGTGGCGGTGTTCATGGTGTGATCAAAGTGAGACTCTCATTATTTTTCGATCTGTAGAAGGGTCTATGCTTCAACAAAGGTATTCGACCTGATGTTGCATTGTTCTTGATTTTCTATATCGCCCATGAGGTGGCGCAATTCAAAAACCTTTCTCCGAACAATTGACTAGGAGAGTTGAGCCAACCCTTTCCGAGTTTGGCACAATAAAGTGAATACTGCTTCGTTGGATAAGCGCAAACCTAACTAATATACGTCATGTTGTGACCAAGTGAAACCAGGTTGGCCCTACTGTGTGTATAGAAGGGTTTAACCTGTGTACATGTTAATCGAATCCCAAATAGGGGAAATGGAGATGAAAAGAAAGAAAGAAAGAGAGAGAGAGAGAGAGAGAGATAGGAAAGAACAGGATCCCAATTATTTTACAAATAAACTCAAGGGTAAATTCAATACCCTGTTGTACATCCCAAAGGAATGATATACTACCGGTCTCTTGTGATCAAACATGTAACTACTCATTATTCTGATTCACATGTAAAACTAACGACTCGTATCACTATCAGTGCTTTTTAGATTTGTGTGGACTGCTACGTGTGACGCCCTTTTAAGGCATTGGCAGTCCCGTGTGACGTCCTTCCTTTTCTGAAGAATGAAGACCTTTCAAGTCGATGAAACATATCATAAACATCCACTGAAGAGCACTATAAATATGAAAATGTAATTATCTATTACTGGGAAAGGAGTATCTGGGGGAGGGGAGGGGGTAGGTGGGGGAATCTGTTCCCCACACCCTACCCCTTACTCGCTTCGCTCCCTCACTTGTCTCCAGGCGCCAAACGCCAGCCTAAGTCTGTGTCTGCTAACCAATGTATTATTAGGGACTTTTAGAATGAGTGGACGAGAACACGACGAACGCC